GATGCTGTATGGAACATTTTATTGGCTATGGAGTATCTAAAGAATCTTAAGACGGTCTTGAATATAAGACTTGACTATAAATACCAGCCCTAATTTCACTTTAATAAAATTGTTTTGTTTTAATGACAAACTTTGTTCCTTCAGATTATATTATAGTCAAGACTGTCTTGACTTTATCCAAAGATGCTGCATGGAACATTTTATTGACTATAGAGTACGGTCTTGAATACAAGACTTGACTATGAATACCAACCCTAATTTCATTTTGATGAAATTGTTTTGTTTTAATGACAAACTTTGTTCCTTCAGATTATATTATAGTCAAGACTATCTTGACTTTATCCAAAGATGCTGTATGGAACATTTCATTGGCTATGGAGTATCTAAAGAATCTTAAGACGGTCTTGAATACAAGACTTGACTATGAATACCAACCCTAATTTCACTTTAATAAAATTGTTTTTTTCTTAATGACAAACTTTGTCCCTTCAGACCGGGCACGTACAATCTCTTCAAGCACAACTGCAATTCTTTCACCGAAGAGGTCAGCAACTTCCTAGTGGGCAAGGGCATTCCCAAGTATATCCTTGATCTGCCGGAAGAAATATTACAAACGTACGTCTTATTAAGCATATCGCGATTCGATGATTATAAACACCGATTTAATGTATTTCGAGGCGGTGCTTTAAATACGAATTACTTATTTCTTTTCAGACCTATCGGACAAGCTATAAGCCCGCTGATAGAGACATTGAGCAGTAACGCGAGTGCTGGATTCACGGTTGGTCAGAGATTCGTCGAGGCGAGGATCCAGAGGGAAGCTTCGCCGGAATATCAACTTCTAAACACAGCTATCGAAGAAGCGAGGTACAACTTTTGCACGTAATTATCAGTTAAGTTTGTTGTGGATACTTTACAAAGATCTCGTGCACGCCCGCAGGTTGAATTCGATCGCGTTAGAGGAACGAAGGAACGTCATCAACGAGAAGCTAGCGAAGAAAGACCGGAAGAAGAAGAAGAAGAAAAAGGAGAAGAAAGAAAAGTGCGGTAGGGAAGCCACCAGCAGCGACAGCAACAGCACCGGACCGAGCAATTTCTGCGCAGATATGGCGGAAAACGAAAGTGCGTAGAGTTTTATGTTGACGATCATGTTATATTCAAGAGTGGTAAAATTATATTATAATTCTACGGTTTTAAATAGCAAAAATTGACGAAGAAAGCCGAAGAGCCAAGCAGGACGATTTAGAAGAAGAGCCTCAAACTTAAGAAATGTTGAAATATTGTTTATACTTACTGCTTGTCAGATGCAGTCGGCGAAGCGCAGCAGCAGGCGGCTAATGGGGAAAGCGCGCCCGCGGAGATGCTGCCGTCTGAGCGAGTGATGCAGATGGAGGAGGACGAGAGGCGCGAGCAAGAGGAGAAGAAACGCCGTCGAGATCCACCGATAGTATTCAAGGACCTGCTGGACGTGCGAGCGGAGTACGAAGGCCTGGTGAGCGTCCTCAAGGGGAAGTTGAACGACGAGGAACAAACGTGTCTGGACGAACTGCGGCAGTACGTCTTGGAAGACGAGGGCTCCTGGGCTCTAGGCGACAATTTCCTCAACTTCGTTGGTGAGTCATTCAGATTTGGGAGAATTGGAAAACATGTCCGATTCATTTGACTACATTTTGCACCTTAATAAAATACTCAAGTTGAATATTATGAAAAATGGATTCTAAAACGGAGTTACTGGTTTTTTTTATATTTAAAAGTACGACGTGTTATGTCATATTGAAATTCGATTGAATTGAATGGCGTGTTTTAGGTCGAGTTCTCTATGACAAATCATTAGACAGCGATGTGCGAGTAAAACTGTTGAACGTGCTGTCCGTCGCCGCGCTGAAGGACGATGTGATTTTGTTGTTGCATCAAGACAGGCGAGAGCATATCATTATGACTTACGCCTTCGACATCGATCGGCATCCGCCGGAGGAGCAACTTGCGCTCGCACAGTTTGTAAGCACCAATAGCAAAATTATTGGGTTAACAATTATGTCAATATCTTGTCGCGTTGATCCACATTATAATTTCCTGCCTGTATGAATTGGCCCAAGTATTTCGTGTTAATATTTACACTTTGTGAAGGTCTTTAAGCGTCAGCGCTTTAATTGTCTCCAACAGCTGGCAAATATGTTCGAGAATCTCAGCAGCTCGGAATGGTTGCTTTACATATCGGAATGGCAGCATCAGGATCAGAACGTCAGCAACAACATCAGCAACATAAGGGTGACGACTAAGGTTGCGGTGCACTCGTTGCTCTCAAACTCGGAAGACCTGCAGATCCGCGGCGCGGCCATCATCCACAATCTTGCCTGCAAGGAGGTAAAAACTGTGGTCTGTATCCTTCTCGTCCAAGTAACGTTCTCACGCTCATCTTTCGCCGATTTTCGCTTTTACTTTCGTAACTCCTCGCTGCAAGCGCTTCCCGCATCGAAGGCATCTTATATGAGGATCACAATCCTACAACTATTCAACTTATAAGTATTAAGATTTTTCTCTGCATTGCATAATTTTCCGCGTTGTAGGCTCTGTTTACCTTACGAGTTTGAAACAGGGCTGTAAAAGAAGAGATACGGACCGGAATTGTTAAAGCGCGGGCCCTTTGATGCGCGATTTCGTTTGTAATGCCGCTTTCTGAATGCGTGCTTGCCGATGTCGCCGAGAGAACAAGCTCGCACTGTGCCCTGAGAAAGAAGTGCTGCCTTCATTAATAGAAAAGATAGAAGTATTAGCACTGTAAATCGCTGTCAATGCTAAACGCGACCGTCAACACGGACGTCTCTTGCCTGGTAACCCGATTCCACGAACGAGCAACGAAAGAAAAATGAAAGGGAACGCACATACTTGCCATTACAATAAAAGAGAACGGCCCAAAGTATACACGACTCACTCGATGCTCGTTTGCATGCGCACACTGAAGCTCTCTAATCGCGCAACAGCGGATAGCGATGTGTGTGACGGATATCTTTCCAGAAATCGGATACTGTGTTTTCAGAAAATGAACAAAAGCAAAAATCTGCGGCGACTTTTACCGAAAGGCAGCATTTCTAAGGTACCTATCCAAATCCATGCTAAGTCGAACCGTACGCTGCGGTAAGTCGTCAACTGTCAATCGGTGTCCTGCGTGCCTGCATCAAGTACACACGCGTAATATACTGTATACAACGCGATGTGCGCGACGACCGCAATTAATTTCTAAACGCGCGAATGTTTTACAATACTTTGCGCGCATGCTAACATTTACGGAGACTGCGGAGAACTCGCAAAACGACGATGCTGAACCTCAAAACTAATGCAACATTATTACACGTTTCGTGGAAACAACTGAGAACTGTACGTAATTGTTTTCCTGCGATTACTAAGAAAAAGAGATTAATTCCGTTAAATTAACTTTGAAACGAACGTGGAGCTTTTAAATTTCACGCGATCGCAGTTTACATTGCAACTTGATAATCGTTAGCTTGCCATTGCGTCGTACAATCATATCTTCATTGACATTTGTTTCTCTTTATACATTTGCACGAGAATGAGACGTACGATTCTGAATATACTCACGTGATGCGTGAATCGTAGGTGTTCGACGACGTCGCGGTGGAGCTGACGATGGCGTTGTTGCAATATTTCAACGGCAGCCCCGCGGAGGAGCAGCTGTACACGTGTATGAAGTCGTTGGCGCGTTTCACGCACATCAGCGGTCAAGAGGTGCCGCAGCTCATACAGATGATCGGACCCGAGCCGAACAAATTCAAGGGTACCTCCCAGAGGATCGACGAGCAGATTGAACAAGTTAACAAGAAGCTGCGCTAAATCGTCGACCGTCTGCGAAAATGTCGTGTTCCACAAGTGCGATGTAAAACTGGACACGCTTCCGCTACGTTCAAAATGAATTTTTACTTAGAGATTCTATCGAGCCAGTCAGATATTATTATTATTATTTATGAAGATTAATTATTGTTGTCATTTAATATTATTATATGTATATTACTATTACTAGATTACGCGAGTCGTCGCAGCGTTTCTTCAATTTCACTTTTCACTTTTTTATTCGACACCTTTTCTTTTTGTAGATAATTGAAGTTAACGATACTTCACCGAGTGGTGAAAGATAGAAATGACACGTGCGTGACATGTGCCCGCCCGTGTGCGCGACTGTCTCACGATTAAAAAGTTTCTGACCGCTAGCGTTAGAAGATTTCGACGCGACGAAATCTCCAAATTAGCTGTACCGAGTAACGGCGTGTTGTAAACGCTCACGCACGTTACACTCAATTGATTATATGTATATGTATAATAAAGTATATATGTAAAAATAAATTTATTTATAAAGAATAACATTTTCAATATTAATTTTGTAGAACAAGTGTTCTTAGAGACTTGTTTCTTTTAATATATTAACATTTACTCGCCGTTGGCTTTACTCCTATCGAAAGAAAAGACGAAATTCGGTAGTTTCTGGTAGCCTTCTTTCTATAATATTGAATCTATATATATATATATATATATATATATATATATATATATATATAACTCAGGGTTGGGAAAGTTACTTTATAAAAGTAACTAGTTACAGTTACAGTTTTTTCGCTAACAATGTAACTAGTTACAGTTACAAGTTACCAATTCTGAAAAGTAATGTGTTACAGTTACAGTTACTCGAAAAGTAACGAATCGTTACTTTGCAGTTACTCCCTTGCAATAAAAATAAAAATATCAAATCTGCATTTGATTTGTAAAGCGGCGATAAAGGCGTTTATGCGCAAATGCAAGGCTTAATGCGATCTGTGGAGGTTGAAAATATATATAAAGTAACTATTAATGTAACTATTGAATTAGTTACTAGTTATCGAAAAAATATAACTGAGTTAAGTTACAGTTACAGATGTAGAGAAAGTAACGAAGTTAAGTTAGAGTTACCAAAAAGAAGTAACTGTAACTATAACTTCGTTACAAGTAACGAGTTACTTCTCAACCCTGATATAACTTAAGATGTAAGAAATAAAACTTCATCCAGTTCTAGTCAAATAATATTACTTGTATGTAATTTATCACTGGCGAAGAAAATATCAATCATGTATATAGGAAATGCTTTCACGTCTCTTAGGGTGATAATAAACATTGCCGTATGTAATAAACTCCGATATCGCAAGACAGATATCACGAAAAGTTGCGGCCATGAAATGAATTTTTTATATGTACGAAAAATAGAGATTAAACATCCCACGACCAGAAATATATAATAATCTCATTCAGTGTTACAGAATTTTCTACCAAATGTAAAAAGGAATTGTTCATATTTAATTTCTCGTAATTAATCTCATATGAAATGCGTACTTACGTTTCGTGGCATGATTGACCAAACCTCGTGGGATGATCCAGACTTCGTGGCACTTTGTCTAACACCTCAGTATTAATCACACGCGACAGGAATGGAGACACGAGAAATATATACAATATACAATTTCAAGTTCGCTAGCGCTTTGATTCTTGGATGTATACAGGGTGTCCCGAATTTAAATGTCCAAACTTCGGGAGCGTGTAGGGGATGATAAATTAAAAATAAAAAGTCCTTTGGAGATATGCTCGTTTTTACTTCGTTTTGGAAAAATCGCGGTAAATATGCAGCAAAGGTCACACCTCACCGATTTCCTCGCCACTTAGATATGTTGTAGGGGAGAGTTTTCTGAGTAATTCCCCGCAAGAATCAAGTGGGGGACGGCATTGGTTTAGGAGATATAACAAATTGAAAACTAAAAATTTCAATACTTTTTCTTAGTAATTTTTATCAAAATGCCTGTGTAGCTACCTTTAAAATCATAAACAAACTACCATTTTCATTTAC